CACACTCGTATATGGCTTCGATTTTTCTTCGGATTTCCAGTTCTTGCTCCTTATTTGCAAGACTCTTCGAAAGTGTTCAAAGAGTACCGATAATGAATGATAAGTAAAATCGTTGCACAACGTTTTTCCAACCTTCCGGCAATCTTTTTTTTTCCTTTCTTCCAGATTTTCAACTTCTGTCAATTTTTATTCAGTGATCACCTGGAACATCAATATTTGTTACAAGAAAACTTTTCTTCTTTACGATGACGTGATCTTGTCTTCTGGTCCACATTAGGTGATTCATTTAATTTTCTAAATCCTAACAATTTGTACGATTTTAATTTTCTAAAACAGACTTTTGTCTGTGCATTGGCTTAAACCGTCAACTTCCATTCGCTTGCATATCGCCATTAGAAAATACCTGACACCTTCTGACATTATTTACATTATTCGGACTATTGTTGCCATATTTATCACAACGTTTCGGCCGTTGTACGCTCCGGCCTTCTTCCTGTGGATCGAATGATACCTTCTGACATGTTCTGACTTTACAAAAACTAGATCAGACAAAACAAAAATGTGATAAATTGTCACATCTGGGCGGAAGCCTCTCAATCGTAATTTTCTAGCCTTGATAGAGTTTAAAAGCTTTTGTGCGTCTATAGTAGAATATAAAATAGTTTAGTATAGTTTGATCGTATAGAATAGTTCTGGAAAACCCTTAATAGAGATTCACTTTCTTTCCTCATCGCAACAAAATACGTATAATCTTATATGGACATTACTCATGTCTATTTAAATATCCTGGATTTATTTTATATGACATTCTTCGCTTCCATTTTGTAATTTTCAAATTCTCCAATCGCTTTTGCGTCAGTTCTATTACAAATTTAGGTTTTCCTAATGCATTTTTAGTTTTTCTGACTCACATCTTTTGATGGGTAAATTGACAGAACTGTGAATGCTAATGATTTCATTTCCTCAACATTTTTATTTTTCTCACATATTTTCTACCCACATATCTTGTAGGGCTTTATGAATATTCATCGTTCTTTGAACCAATCTTCACTTCGTCTCTTAACAACTTTATTTTATTAGACACATTCATCAACTGATGATATTGAGAGGTATTTTAGAGTTGCTCTAACCAAATAATAGAAATCGATATCGCAATCGGTTTAACTGGATGTGCGGATGGTGTAACGGTTATCGGTGACAAGTGGAATCACCGAGACGTGTTCAAATTCCAGGTCTCGTTGTAGGATTTGCTTTGACACAAATGCCCTTAGTGATGAATCTATTTCCTCTCACCCCACTACTAAAGGGTTAAATAGTAGAAACAGGTCTCTCTAAGCTTCGTTTGCGACTAATCCAAGAGAAGAAATGAATTTGGTGACAGCATTTTTGAGTTCAATCCATGAGCCGGGCAGTGTGTACTTGAACTAAGTAGTAAAATAACTAAACAGTTAAAAAAAAAGATCTAGACGAGATATTCCGATAAAGGGAACAGCTTACCCCTGTCGAGTAAATAAAAGGTTCAGCTCGGAATTCCTTGTCAGTTACCCGGCACGAGATACACCTGACGAAGGCCGGAGTTCAAAACGACCGAAAGATTGTGATAACAGCAAATATGTAAATAGTGTAAATAATGATAATTTCTCATTCCAGAAATTCAGACAGAAATAAAGTCTTAATTTCAAACCGAGTAGAAGGCAGTGGGAAACCCCTCCACAGTCTTTCAAAAGAATGCATGACAGTTCACAGATAACAATGAAAGGAATGTGTGGAGGGTCATAATCCCGTACGTTCTGAAGGAAAATAGCTTTAAAAAGCCTATCTTATTATTAGTGGTGTCTGGTTGCAAACAAGACATAATCAGCCTGCATAGTTATTATGTCATACCAATGTTATGTCACAGCTAATTGCGTCTAAATAGTTAAAAACTTATTCATCAAAACTTATTAGGATTCAAAACATTAGATACCTACTAGTGGTCGCTATCCAAAGGCGCATTTAGATAGCGAAAGATGCCTTCCAACAGCTAAATATTAAGAAACAGGAAAATTTCGTTTGAAACAAAGGTAAGGGTTACTGAATAGTTACGTAATATCAGTCCTTCTGTATGGCGGTGAATGCTGGGCAGTCTACTACTGATAAAGAAGAGACTTGCAACAGAAATGTGGTTCTACAGGAAGATGCTGAGAATACCATGGGCCAATTATGTGAGAAACGACGAAGTTTTAGAGAAAATAGAAACGAAAATGATACATACTTAACGTCAGGAAGAGACGGTTGAAATTTCTAAGATACTTAATGAGGAAAGAGGGCTTGGAAAATTTGACACTCAGAAAAATTGAAGAAAAGAGGGAGAGAAGAAAGAAGCAGATAACATACTTAGTGGGCTTGAGTAAACAGATGACGGAACAGGGTTTAGGAGAGAGAGCAAAAAGACAAAATTCATTAAGAACTACAAAGGACAGGAAAATGTGGAGAGACATGATCATCAACGCCTTAAAGTGGTCAGTATATGAGCTTGGGTAAAATAAACGATGTTGAAAGCTAGTTTTCAAGGCAAGGCCCAGTTCACTTGAAAGGTTAGCGCAACCCAATCTTCTTTCTCATTTGGTCTAGTACTATACTCAGGTGAGCTTAGTAAATATAAAGAACATCTCGCCAAGGAGAGCAGTAAATAGCTAAATTATCTCAGAGACAATTACTACTCTAGAAAGTTTAATCTTCATTGGATTCTACACATTTCTAGCCTTCGTACATGCTTGGGTTCCTCAACATTTACTAGTGGATATCAAGCTAGTTTCGCAAACCATTACGATTATAATGAATTCAAATTTTACTAGGTGCCTTACACATGTGACCTTTTACTGTTGTAACCTCAGCTTAGCAAATATCAATGATCTAATAGTCAATTTGAATTTTATCGAGGTTATGATTGTTGAAACTTATTGAGTATTTCAGAGTATTCGCTAGCAAATGATCATTCTTCTCAGCGTTTAAAGAGAATGTCTTTATTTTATACAACCCTAAAATTATTATAGGTTACTTCTTTTAAAAGTTCTCTTCTTGCCTGAATGTGTACCATTTATCTACAGAAGAAAGCATTTTCATCGTGTCTAGAGAGAAAATGTTTCCAGTATCATTTAGCATTAATAATTACTTTGTTCATCGCAAACTGTGAATGTCCAATACCCCTTGAAATGAGTTCACGCAATTAAACTGGCTTAAAAATAAATAGAGTAATATTTTAAAATAACAGATGCTAATAAGAAAATGTTGCATACATTCAGAAATATGGTTATAGCTCGTATGAATTCGAGTATTAAATAATTTCAAGTGTATTTTTCCCTTTCCTTTTGATCCATGTGGATAAAATATCAAGTATAGGGTCAAAACTATCTTGTCAGCAATGCCTGACAAAGTTTAACTTATTGATCTAATATGTCACTCCGTCAAGGTTATCTTTTTAAATGTTAAGTTGGATCTATTTTCTTTTAGCGAAAAGAGAAGACACAGGCGTTTTTTTTTTTTTGCAAGTTAGTTCATTTCGTTCAAAATGGCGTGTTCCCCAACTTAACGTTCTGTAGGATATATTCTTATAATGAGCTGTTTTTTTTTTTTTTTTTTTTTTAGAAATCTTCAATAGAATATGTTTACTTCAGACATCTGAACATATGGAGCATGTTGGTCTGAAGAGTAAAACATAAATTAATGATAATGCATAATCTCTAAAATTCTGATATAAAAATTCGCCATTTTATTGGCGCTTAAATAATAACCGCAAGGGTATTATTTTCTATTATAAAACCCGTCTATTCCCCGACTATTATTTTATGCTCTTTATGAAGTCACTTGGCCAATGACGGTGAAATAAGAACGGGACTGATCATGCGCATTAGGTCAATAAGGAAGACCGGTGTAATATTAAAAAAATAACCTAGAAAGAAAATGTGACCCTAGAAGTCAATTTGGTGGATAATTAAATTTACATTTTGTAATTACCTATTTCTCAACTTGGTAAGTCAGAATTTGAAAAGAAATTATTAGCGGGTAATTGAACGAAAGATAGAATAAAAGCCTAAATTACAAGACCTTTCAAAAGACAAAATGCGTATTTCACTTACCTATCTATCTATATTTCCATCGATAAAAATGATTAGTCTATAGAAGTCTTTTGAAGGATGAAACGCATAAGATTCTTTTTACGTGTTATTCAATTACACACTATTATAGTCTAATATGCGGAGTTGTTTATCATATCTCCCAAAGAAAGTGTGAGGGTGTTTTCCGTAGTCTTCAAATATACGTTAAATAAAGGGTATTATTCCTTTATCGTCTTGAGAATTAATCTGCTAAGAAACATGTGTAGCTATTTGATTGACAAAGCTTTCTGGCTTTATTATATTTTAATCAGAATTTAAGATCTCTTCTATTTTAAATGAAACAAAAATCTTTGTGTTATTACCAGTAATGAAACTTAGTTGAGTTGCAATCATCTAAAATTCGTTGTTCATTTTAAAAAAAAATAAAAGCAAAAACAACAACCCCCCCCCAAAAAAAAACAACAAAAAAACGTTCTTTAGTAATTTATATAGAATTAATGATATTGACAGAGTTCAGGAAACCAAAAATTGCTTCCACATTTTCTTACAATCTTCTGCAGGCAATTGTAAAGGAAAGTTTGTCTTATTCGCAATATTTTTGTTGATAATGTTTGTTCAGGGTTACCAGTTGTGGCACAAATGGTATTTATGTAAAACTGATTGATTCGTTTTGTACGACTTATCAACCCTTTTCAGGTTATTTAAAGCCAGGAAATATTTTTCGATTGTAAGAATTGTTTTGGTTGGGAGATAATGGTTTAGCGATACTAGCCTTACTAATTCATACCTTTCCAAAGGTTACTTGCGCGTAAGTAAATATAACCCAACTATAATTTGAACTCAGCTCTTCGATTAACGATTCCGAGTTATTGTCCATTACATCAGCCGCCCATCTCGGCGCGGAGCACCTGGTATTCCCAAGCGGCCAACCATATAAGAACTGACCAGGATCAACGTTGCTTAACTTCGGTGATCGTACGAGAACCGGTGTTTCAACGTGATGTGCTCGTAAGTTTCTTATGTAAAAAGATGAAAGTCTAATTTTGAAATAAGAGAAAAGACAAAGAAAAACCAAGAAAAACTGCACGATCCAGATAAAAATTAAAAGAGAATATATTTAATAATATAAATTACGATAGGATATTAACATGGGATGTAACATTTCAGCATTTATCAACGATAAGTTGCAAAAGCAAATTGCATGCAAAGTACATGTACACTAGAGCAATGTAAGAGAGAAGTTTCTAGTACAGTATAGAAGTAAATCCAGCAATATTATTGGTCCAGATCTGGCGGCTCGGCTTCAGTCACTTTCTCCACCACCGTACAGTTGCCTCCCTGTGTCTTTTCTATAAATCCTTTCATGGTAAATGTGCGGATGATCTCTTCGATATGGTACCTAAACTTTTTTTAAATTTAAGCTCAGTGTTAGTTGAGCTGGCGAGATGTAGCCGTAAATTCTATGCTAGTTATTTTCCCACCACCGTAATGTAGCTTCCCTGTGCTTAAATTCTTTTGTGGTAACTGACCGAATGAACACTTCACTATGGTTCCTAGGCTTCAGGAATTTAAGCGCAGTACTAGATTGTCGGCAAGGTCTCATCAACTTACAGTTGAATTGGCTAGATATAACCGTAATTTCTATGGTAATAGTTTCTTTTCTCGCGCTTCTTGCTTATAGAACTCTCTTCCGTCTCCATGCTTTCCAGCCATCTTTGATCTCCAAAAATTAAACGCAATGTAAATCGCTATCTACTGTCCTGTTTACTCTTTTCTCTTTTACTAATAATGTTTCTCTTCTTAATTCTTCTACACCTCTTGTGTCTTAGTGGCTTTACTGTCTCGTTTGAGATGAAATCGATTAAAAAAAGAAAAAGAAAAAAGAAACGTAAAATGTATACTTAGTATAAAGCGCTAAATATTTCCATTGTAATTTCCAAGATATTTCCATTGTTATTTTGGATACTGACATTTATTAAATGATATTTATAACAAACAAAGTTTGAAAAGGATATAAAGTTATAGAAATGTCATATTATCAATTTAACCTCTTACAAACGGAGAGGGTCTACATTTATCTAACAACATTTCGAAAGTTAGCGGGGAGTGTCTATTCTTGCCTCGCTGTCGAGGCAAACACACATTTAGACAATGCCGCAGAAAAAAATGTGTTTCTTTTTAATTGTGTTCATATGAGCTTGCTAAAAGGTTTAGACAACCATAATTTTACAGAATGTAGTCATTACTTTTAGTTTTTTTTAAGGGAACAACAGAAAGTACGTAAAGCAACAAAATTTAGGATCCTAAATTTAAAGTGCTCTCTTGATTTTATTGGTTTCATGAAGAAGGCTTATCACCAAGAGAAGCTGGGTTGGTGATGTTCAATATTTATCTTTGTACATTTGGATAAGTTTCTTAACAAACTGTTACTGAACTGACAGAAATAAATGATTTAAATAGCTATTATTGCAATAGTGCTTATCTGAAATTTCTGTAATGAAGCTAACAATGAGGATCAAACTATATACAATATTAATTCACTAGTACTTGTTCTATTGCTTGGGGGCATGATGAGGAGTTAAGTATAAATAAAATAATTAATCAACTAACGAATTCTATCGTCGCATGACGACAAGAAACAGTAGAGCGAATATGATTCTAACTGAAGACCAAAGTCTGTAGCCTTATAAAAGAATAAGCTTAAAGAGATTGCTTCATTGTTGAAAGAGTTGTATATTTCCCAATAGTACAAGAAAATGCAATTTTTCCTCACTTGTGATCATTTCCTCTTGCTTTGCTTTCTCGTTTGTAGAAAGTCTGGATTCCTAATGCTGACATTTAAAGTTATAATATCCCTTTCCATTTAGCGGATTGATGCAACACAATCTTCCTACGCCCCCCCTTTTACTTACTCTGGTAAATATCGATAATAATACATTAGCAAACAAACATCAACCATTAATAGACGATTTCGTCCATTACATTGGCTGTTTAAGCGGATCCATTGGCATGTGGTTGTGGCAACAATTTTTTTATTTTAAATCGTTCATTGGTTGCATTAAATAAAGCTAGGCACTTGAAACTAGTGGAAAAGTAAGAAAATAATTTGTAAATTTATTTTCGAAAGTGGAAACCCATTACAGGTCAAATGAAACAGATAATGTTTTTTTTTTAAAAAGAAATATTGAACATTTGATGGAAAAATAAGGGGGGGCGTGATTGTAAGGAAATGATCTCAGTCGGATCTCCTTCCCCAAATCTGTAATCTTTAATATTTGCTCATTGAAGTACGGATTTTGGGAAGTGAGCCGACTGAGAATATATCACCCCCCCAACTCCGTGTATGTATACATATATGTATAAAACGAGCTTTCTGGAATAGTAAAACTTGACCAAAATTATTTGTGTGGATGTGCATGGATGAACGGAAACATGTATTTCTATCTTTAAGTGTGAGTTCCAGAGACACCAAAGTATTGTAATTTATTTACTTTTAAAGAAAATTATATGTCCCCTGATAAGATCATGGAAAATAGGTTAATTGATACAGAATAGTGTCATGGTGGCAAATTATACATTTAGCAGCCATTTTAAAGACGTGGGTGCTGAAAAATATTAATTAAAGCAGTACGAAATTAAACTTAAATAAAATAATGATAATCAATTAAAAGTTTTACTATTAAAATAATAACAATTACGGAATTTACAAATGACACTGAGTTTAGAAATAATTTTTTCAGTTATTTTTATATTATAGATTAAGCAATCGATAATGAAAATGGTGTCAAACCAACTCCCATTATCTTTCTCACCTATTTTACTTTGTAACCCTCTACTTCGAGGGTCTCCCGGGCCTTGTACAGTGTGAACTTCGCTGTAAAAAAAACGTTAACTTTTATAAAATTTAACAGAGCTCTGTTTGCTTTGTAAATTGATCCCCCCCCTACGGACACTAAACAAAATATTCGCATACCACTTGATTTCCTAAAATTTAAAAAAAAAAAATTCGGTATCTGGAGGTTTTTTCATATATTACTATCATACTATCTATTAAGAACTCAATTTTAAGAATTTCGTAATTCTTTTTCACATAGCGAACTAGACCACCTTATTAAACGTTTATAAATATTGATTTATTTATATTCGTGCTAGTCTAGAATGCTTAAAATAAAAAAGAAAGAAAAATAGATTTTTTCTGGTTGCAAAAATTACTATACAACTCCACAATAATATTTATAATTTAGAGTAAAAATACATGCCAGTGTTGCAGAATATCGTAAATAAATATAAAAAACATGAGAACCATAAAACAAAAAGATAACACTATTGATACTGTTTCCTGTTTTGTCAATAAACGGCTTTAAAATATCCAGTATTTTACCAACAAACTCATGTTATCCAGAGAATGTAATTCGCCGGTAAAGTGACGGTACGAAATGAAAAAAAAACAAAAAAAAAAACAAAACAAAACAAACACAAACATCGTCATGAAAAAGAAAGCAAATGTGTAGTATTTATGTTATTATTCATTGTTAGTCAACATGTGAGTTATAAAAATAGGCGTACACAGGTCGATGTTGTTATTTACCAACCGTAGCTTAAATTGGGCGCAAAGAAAAAAGAACAGAGCACCCAGTGAGGATCGCCCTCACTAGCAATGGTCAACTAGATCAACAATTTAATCACATCTGGGCCACACTTGCACGGGTCTATATTTGTTACAGAACATGTTGTTCGAACCCAGAAGAAAACAATCTAAGATTTCATGTAAGCAAACATAAACAAGAGACGCGGATAAAGGCAAATAAGCGAAAGTATGCAAACATGAAAAGAAAGGAAAACACCACATATTTCAACCAAATGGTAATTTAAGAATTTTCTTGAAGAGAATCTACTTAAAATTTAACATTAAGCTCACTTACGAAACAGAACAAATATTTTTATATGACTGTAATGACAAAGTTTAAATGTTGTTACTTTGTTTTTTAATAACCCATTTCGGAAATAAGTTTTAAAACAAATAAAAACGAAGCTGTCGTTTGTTAATTAATTCTTTTTCTAATATCAACAATTTTTTTTATTTGAATTAGAAAGGTTGTAAAAAGTTTATTTTCTAGCTTTTTTTAATTCAATTTGCAACACTTTATAACAAATTGTAGGATATACTAAATTTTAACTAAACATTCGTATATTAGTGTTCATTATTCTTTTTTTTTTAATGTTTAACTACGTCAGAAAATAATACACCGCAACTCAACAAGTCTTGTCCATGTGTACGTACTACTGTACTGAAAAAATGTGAATGATTTTTATATACGTTTATCAGGAGTAAATAAATATGAAAATGAAAGGAAATAATTCACTTACCTGAATTTCATTTTTATACTATAGATGCGTAGATCTTTCCTTAGGAATATTGTACGATTATATGAACTATCATTAAAATATATCTATATATATTCATATATCCCTCAGTGTACTTTCGGATTTGTCGTATGGAACCGGTCCGTTCTGACGTAAGTTTAATAACACCGATTATACTACGACTACTAATGTTTTTGATTGAGAGATAGTACTTCAGCTGTAGTTGTAGCACTTAAAAGAAAATGTAGTAGCTGTGGTAGTGGCAATAGTTAACTGTAGTAGGAAAGTAGTGGCGGTCTTTTTTTTTTCCTTCTTTTTTTTTTCTCACTGGGGCTAACCACACATTTCTATGCGGGCGGGAGCAGTTTGCGGCCGACCTGGCATTAGTGAGTGGATAGAGGCTAAGTAACAACCAGCTGGTTTGGAGGCGGTGATAACATCACTAAAACGCCGTCAGCAGCCGTGACTGTGGTTAAGTGAAAGTTTGGAAACGATGAGAGGGAGGAGAGATTAAGGAAAGGAAATATATGAAAGACGAATAGAGAGAGAAAGGAAAAAAAGGGAATTTTAATGGCGGTAGGAAGAAAAAAAGAACGTCACGATGATCCGAGACATCGTAACGTAGAAAGAAAAGGTACAAGACA